TGTGATGGTGGCATGGGGGTGTGGTGGTGTGGCTTTATCCTATAGTGATGGTGCTTTGGTGATGATTAAGGTGGGAATGGTGATACAGGGGTGACTAATGGGACATGTGAATCATGCAATAACAAAATAAATACTTTTCAAGCCATGCAATAATAAAATAAATATTTGTAAAATTTATGACAGGTCAGAATAGTAGATAGCCATCTTACACATATTGCCATGAACCATAGGAGTAAGATGTCCATGGGGAGTAAAAAGTTCTTGGAAATATTTATCCCGCAGGGGTTCAAAATAGAAATAAGATACACCACTATAAATATCTAAAACTCAAACTGCAATCCTATTCCCCGTAAATCTGACTCCTGATTTCGTTTCCTCTTCAACACTCTATGCGGTTTACGAGCCTCTGTTGATGACCTTATGATGACAGTCGACAGTCTCTATCTCACAACGACATCATGGTGACTTTGTGGAAATTATGTATTCAACTCTTTTATTTCTTTCCTCTTTTTTTACTCTCCAATCTTTCTATTTTTGATTTTTTTCCCACTAACATATTGGGTAAGGTTATGCTACTATCTTTCTCGATATTGCGTCTAAACTCTAATTTTGTCTTAAATTATAATTGTTTCTTCAGTTATTTTGTGAGTAACATGTCTCCTTTTATTTTCAACTGGGAAGCAACATTGGAAAATAAAAAATGTTGTCATGAGGTGGACTTTAGTTGAATCGTTGACTATGGAGATATGGCTAGAGATGACTATTTAGAAATTTGATTTTAATTTATTAGTAGCAGGAAACTTGTTCGTATGATTTTCTCATGTCATTGTCCTTGCACACTACCTTTAATGATAGCTACTCTTCATGTTTCATGTCTGTGTCAATTCCATGTTCCTTTATCCATGTCCAGATCTCAGATTTTGATTATTTATTCAATAAGGCTAAGGATTCTAAAGAAGGAACATTCTGTTTTTCATAAATAATTAAAGTTCATTGCAGTTTCCACTTTTTGGGTATCTTTTAGCAACATAAGGGTAAATTGTATGCGCAATTCTTACATCGTTGTTAATTATTCAGTAAGGGTCAAAGACAATGACCTTTAGTTTCCAATATTCATCTTGAATTGAAAAAAGATGTGGATATTTACACAATCAGACTGTCGTTTCCTGGATGAAAGAGTTAGCCAACACACACACACGTAGATTCTTCTATGTACGCATGCTTTTACCTGCTAATCAAAGGGACTGCATACACTTCTTTTAGTTTTTTTTCCTTCTAGATATTCTTTTTTCTTGACATTTCTTTTTTTATTTTTTATTTTTTGGTCAGGATACGTAGCATACAACTTTGTAATAGGAGCTTATTCATACTGGGGTCCCAAGGCTGGCTATTCAATTTACCATATGGTAACCTCTTATATGACCATGACTGTTTTATTGCTGATTGTGATAGTCTAAAGATAATTGCTTAAAAGGGTAAATTGTACATAACCCTCTCATCTATACCTTCAGTTGCAGTAAACACCCCTCAGCTCATCTATATGCATTTAGCTCAATCCATGAAGAAGAGGAGTGCTACTTGCAACTCATCTTTCTAAAAATTGCAATCATGCGGTATTATGTGCTAGTAAATGATTTGAGGGATATTAAGCGCAATTGTAAGGTATAGATAAGGGGGGTATGTGCAATTTTTGCTACTTAAGATAATAATTTTAGTATCTAGAACAGTTTAAAATTTCCATTTTCAAAAGTATTTTAATGAGTCATGTTTTTAGTCTAGCAAAAGCCAAGCATCAGATGTTGGTATTTAAGAGAATAAAGTAATAGTTTGCATCTATAAAATGAATATTTTAATATCTACACTGAGAGGTCATGAAATTGGAGAACTAAATAGGTTGTTTTGAATAGGAATCGATGTTTTTGATTGTACTCATTGTTGAATGCACACTGCAGATTTATTTCATTTGGGTTTTAGATTGTGTAGAATGTTATCAGTGGTGTGGAATCATGGTCCACCATATTCATCAGTGATATAAGGCGGACCTATTCAAGTGTAGATGAGCATCCCATGTTTTAAGAGTTCTAACGGTCTTTCTTTATGCTGTTCATGATGTTGATGATCCTTAATGATTGGATAATGGGAAAGGGGAAACTGTTTTGCATGGTTTGTCATGTACTGCAAGTCTGTATGTCAATACTATTATTTATACTTCTTTGTTTCACGATTAATCTTGGTGAGGTTTTTTCTACTGTTATATAGTAGGAGATGATCCTTCCGAGGATTTTAATTTGGAATTGGACTTGAATTATTGGGTTACATAGGTAGTACTTCTGGTTTCCACTTTTAATGCATATGCAAGTTGTAGCTTATGATCTGGGGACTTCCTAGTAATATAGTTTTGTCTTTTAGACACGACACACATATCCACACAGGTTGATGCTTTGTTTTAGGGTTTACTTTTAACAAAAAATGAAAAAGAAAACACGAGAGGTAAAAGAAATGCATATAAAAGCAAAGAAAAGGAGAACGGCAAGAGTAAAGAGAAACATAGATTGTCAACCCTTCATTAACTTACTACCTTCCGAACAGTATAAGATGTTGGCAATTGTTTCCTTGATGAGTTATATCAAAAACCTATTACCACGTGTAGAAATGGCATCGTTACTCTTGTGACATGACCTAAATGGGCATGTGTGAAACTAGTGCTAATTTATTGCATCAGGATATAGACCTTGATTTTTTTTTCTTCTTGCTCCTTATATTCCTTCCTTTGAATAACATGCATAAAATATAAAATATGGATAATGCATTTTTGAGAGTATTCCTTAGTTTTGTTTGAATAATAACATAATTATATTAAACAAAATTTCTTCATGTTTTATGTATGTGTTTCTTTCTTTAATTTCTTGGATCATCACTGCTTTCCAGCTCATTTATTCTACGTATTGAAATATTTTTTTTGTAATATCATCTTCATAATACCAGAGCTGCACCTTATTCCCTTTTCCACTTTTCGTATCAGAATAATGCAGATTTGTTGTTTGGTGGGATAACAATAGTATGTGGTATAGTTGGAACTTTAGGTGGTGGCTATGTCCTGGACAAAATGCAGTCAACAATCTCAAATGCTTTCAAGGTATGTATGGCAAGCAAGTAGTAATTTGCAGTTGTCTCACATTGTTTTCACTGCTGTCATGTTGACTCTTTTACTATATTTTGATTATCTGACAGAATTAACTGGTCTGCATGTCAAGCTCAAAATTAAAAAAAAAATCTGGTTATATGGAAGCTATATTTTTGTGCAATTTCAGATGAATGATTTTGCCAGTTAGCATGCTTTGTAAGAATCAAGACCCTGCATTGCAACCTAGTGTTTTTTATTCTAACAAACTTAATTCATGAGAATGAAAGGGATTTATTCCATTTTTCTATTTTTTTCTCTTTGAAAACGTAAAACTGCTGATTGGAGTTTAAAATTTTATATTTCATCATTCCATCGCTGTTGGAGAGGATTACATCATGCAGTGCAAAGATCATAACTACTTTTCATTCTCTCGTCTACGCTGTTAGCTGTTAAGATACCCTTGTGGTTTGAATACAGATATGAGCTAACTTTGAAAAAGAATTTGAGGGCATTCATAGCTCTAATCAGATATCTATTCCTACAACTTTGAGGCTCATGTTATGTTATACTCTTTTGCAGCTTCTTTCTGGAGCAACATTTTTGGGTGCAGTTTTCTGCTTTAGTGCATTTTGCTTCAAGAGCCTTTATGGTTTTATAGTATTTTTCTCAGTTGGAGAAATTTTGGTATTTGCAACGCAGGTACTATTAGCTCTATAATTTTACATAATAGGTCGGAGCTTATTGCTTAACAGTAATATTTATGATCATGTGAAGATAACTGTTGCTTCGAATAATCCTCAGACTGGCATATATAAAATGTTTTTCCTAATAAAGTTCCTTACTCCTGTTCAAGCTAGCTGATTACATCTCTATAAATACTTTTTTCTACGGCAACTGTGCTCATGATAGTTTTGTAGATGTTTGCTGTTTTGCGAACAGGTACAGTGAAGTTAACTTTACAATTTAGATTCACCATGCTTCATTTGTGCATGAAAGTTGTTGTATCTTCGTGTGCTCAATAATGAGCCTCTTTATGTGCATGCATTCAAAGCTAATGGTTTTCAAGTTTAAAGCTGTAAAGGAGTGTTTATTTTAAACAGTATGTTTATAGAACATCACAAACAAAGAGAAATTGAAACTTGGAGGGAGTTACTTACAGGATTTGTATATGCAGGACACTGGAAACATAGTTTCTTCAAAGTTTTTGTCAAAAGAAAGTTTAACTTTCTACTTTTGAAGTTCCTCATGAGTCATAGGTTGTTAGAAATATACAAAGATGAACTTAATTGTCTCTTCAATGTTAATTTTGCACATTTTTATCCATAAATATGACTTAATATTCTATGAAATGCCATATTTTAACATTTATGTCTGTAAGTATGTTGGAAGTAAAGAAGGGTCTACATAGTTGTGATTTCTTCTTAAAACTATTTATTGTAAGTTTCTTATCCGAAGAATTTCTTTGATTTTCTAGGGGCCTGTAAACTACATATGTCTACACTGTGTCAAGCCTAGTCTGAGGCCACTATCACTGGCTATGGCCACTGTCTCTATCCACATATTTGGTGATGTACCTTCGTCGCCACTGGTTGGAGTCCTGCAGGTTTGTCCATGCAACTTTAGTGGTTATGATGTTATTGTTTAGTTAACTCAAGTTTTTGCCAGACTGATATGATATAACATTCATATCTGTGGTTATGTGTATACATATTATCATGAACTAGGACGATAGATTTGACTCGACTACTCTTATTTAAACTGCATAAACTATTGATTAATGAAATTAATTTCACATACTGACCCCAAGTTTTACTTGAACATTAATGGAGAAACTTTTTTGTTAATGGACATTGATGGAGAAACTAGAACAACCATATTACATAATGTTCTAAACCACAGTATATTCAGCCTTGTATATGTATCCGAGAATTTACAATATGCTGCTCATATAAGTGTGGCTAAAAGATATGTTAAGAAGTAGTACTACCTTTGATACCAAGGAAGAGAGTGTGGACAGTGCAAGAGGACAAAGTAGAAGGAAAGGGGAGTCAGTTCCCTAATTCTGATTTAGCTATTTGCTAATCTTGTTGTCTTGGGTCATGGTTACAATACACCCAGTGTGCAACTTAGTTACACGGTTACACCCACATGTAAAAATACATATTTGACCATCAATATCCATGATCCACACCGTTCATTGTGATCTATGCATTCAAGACTTCATGGAGATTAAAAATCACGTAGATTAAATATTTGTAGTTTATACATCTAATGACGTAAACGGTGTTTGTAAATCTTAGATGTCGCTTTTTTTGAATTGCGTGATGTACAAGGCAGAAAATTCCAAACCACATGATTTTGGATCCACTCAAATATGATGATGTGTAAATAACAATGAACGGCTTGGATTTACAATATAGATAGATGGTCAAACATGTATTATTACATGTGGATGTAACTAAGTTAGTTTCACCCGGGGTGTATTGTAACCCTACCGTTTTTTCTTTCTTTCTAATTTTCATCATTTATACAGTAATCTTTTTTCCGTAAGCTGACTCTGTTCAAAAAGTTTTTTTTTTTTTTTGACTTGTTCTACCAGAACTGACTTTAATTGGCGAAGGGAAACTCAGTGTATTTGGATTCTTTTTTATACAAATAGATATCTTGATCATAAAATGTTAGTCTTCTCTCTATCTACCGACTACCATTTTTTGTTGTTCTGACCTTCGAAAGAGAAAAGAAGACATGTCCACGGATGATGCTAAATGATTAAGATCATCATGATTTATCGTGACCAAAATGTCTGTAGATAAAAAATGCGTGGTTTGGGAAATTTTTACCCGTGGATCAAGTATCACATTCTATTATTAGAAACTCGTTATTGTTCAACTGCCAGACACAAGAGGGAGATAGTATCTTAGCTGCATGATTTTTTTTTGGGGTATGTAGTCTGGATGCTTGCATCATGATAAAGGGTTGTCCTATCAGGATCATCCATTTGGAAGGTCTTGCTGGACTTGGAAGTGGAGAATTCTTACCTTCTACTACCCTTTTTTTTTGTTAATCTGTGGCTCAACCAAAATTAACATTTGCTTTTATCAATTTTCCATCTTAGTTATGTAATTTGTTTCCTCTTTTTTTTAACCGCCTTTGCTTAATCATGACTCTTTATCCTGATGATGTTGCAGGATTATGTGAACAACTGGCGCGAGAGTGCTCTTATACTGACATCTATTCTTTTCATTGCCGCTGGAGTTTGGTTTTTAGGTATGTCAAAAATTGCCCTCAAGGGCATACTCTTTACTGTGCGATTTGAACAGTACTATTTTAGCTAAGGTAGTAGTTGTTCGCCTACAAATATTTAGGTACTCGTTATTTTGCGTCACCATTGCTTTCATCTTATGTTATAAAACTAAGCATGAGCTTTTCATCTCGTGCTTGTGTAGGTATATTTCTTCACAGTGTGGACCGGTCTAATGAAGACAGCGAGCATGCTATTCCAACCGCAGAGAGGTCGAACCTCAGGCCTTTGCTTGATGGTAATGCCGATACAGCAGAAGAAGCTGTTTAAGGATCTGACACGAAATATCTGACGGCGCTTTGAAGATTAATTCGAAGCACACGGTGCGATCTTGATGCCCCTTTTAACAGAGGGGCTCACAGGATAATTAGGATGCCGGTACTCACTTATGTTTTAGAAATCACGAGGAGGTAGTCACTTTGTTTGAATTGTTGTGTCCATGTGTACATATGTGTACAGGTTTTAAATTATTTGATTCGGAGTTTACAAATGTATACGTATAAAATCCCACAACGGTTAACTTTTAAGAGACCGAAAAGGATCCTTTGGAATGAATCAGTATTTTCTTTTGAATTTTTTTCTCCCATGTTTATTCATCTTCTTGCAACTTTTGAATTTATACCGTCCTTTGGGATTAATCATCTTTTTATTGGACTCAAATAGACTGTAGTAAGTTTTTTTCTTTTTTTTAAATTTGAAGGTATTTTAGAATATATTGTAGCTTTTTCATTAATTGCTTCCGCAGTGGAGATGTTTATTAACGCACGCCATTATTCACCATCATTTTCTAATCACTTGTATTTTATAATAGCTTTGAAAACTGACTCGAAACCTGACCAGAACTTTGAAAAGGAGAAAAAAAAAGAGGAAAAAAAACTTAAAGCGCAAATTAAAATTTTATTTTCTGCTATTTGATATTTACCCAGAGCTCGAGGATTAATCATGTTCGTGTAGAAATCAATACTTTATATATTTTAATTTCAATGGCCGTTAACTGGTCTATACGGGTCGGGTCAGTTTCACCCGATAATTAACATCACGCGGGGTGGGGGGGGTATTTCAGTAATTTTCGTCTAACCCTAGCCGAGGCGAGGAAGACCAATTCCCTCCGTGCGCGAGTCGATATAAAAGCGGAGGCAGTTGGCGAAACCGAGAGCTTTCTTGGGGCGAAAACGAAGAATCCAAACCCAAAGAAGAGGCACATCCGAAGCTCACAAATCAGTAAGCGCTCGTTTTATTTCAACCCCCCCCAAAAAAAAAAAAAAAAATTTAGGGTTTCGTTTTCGTTTTCGTTCTCTGAGTCTTTCTTTTGTGGGGGGTCGATTTTGAAGATGGATCGGTATCAGAGGGTTGAGAAGCCGAGGGAGGACACGAAGATCAATGAGAACGAGATCCGGATCACCACCCAAGGGCGGATGCGTAATTACATCACTTATGCTACGACTCTCCTTCAGGTGCGATGCAATCGGATTTTTTTGTCGTTGTTATTTTGCGAAGTGGTTGCTTGTTTAGGATGATGCTATAAAGTTTAATGTTTGAAAATTTTTGAGGAGGGGGAAAAAGGTAGGGTGTCGCAAAAATTAAATTTTTTTTGGGGGGGAAGGAGGAAAAATCCTTAGTTGGAGTGCGGATATCGCTGGATATGTAGTTTTGCTAAAAAAAATTCTTAGAGATGGAAATTTTGCTAAAAATATATAGAAGATAAGTGATAGCGAGCTAATTTGGTGAAAAGCCTTTTATCTTATGCCAACAGCTTTGGTGCTCCAATTGAGTACCGAAGCAGTTGGTGTAGTTTGTTTCCTTGAAAATCTCTCTCACATCCTAAATTTGAGGGATAAGGTAGTTGAGAGGAGTTCCACACCCAAAAGAGTAATTTCACTTAGATAAAAATGTTATTTTAGGAAGTATAAATAAGAAGAGAAATATAATTTGTGATTAGTTACAACTATACAACTAATAAACGCGTCTCTATTTTTTCCGTCCTTTTCTAGCATTCTTCCTTCTTAGTTTCTTATTGCTTGTGAACTATAAACTCTTCCAAAACTTATTCATGTATTGCATTATTTTCTGTCTTTTATTTCTCTTATTCGTGATTAATTTTGCAAAAAAAAAAAAATCTAATTTTCCTCATACACCATGTTAAATATAAGTGATTAATTCTCTTTTATTTCTTCTACATCTTTTTTTATTTTCTATCTTTTTATCTTTTTATTTCTTTTATTAAACAACTTGGTTAATGTTATAGAAAGAAAAAAAATCTCTTCACACACACATATATATATTCACTCCCTTGAGAGCAAACGCGAAAAAGAACTTCAATTTTTAGGTATATGCTAAATTTTTAGGAAAGTAGGTGAATTTCAATTTTTTAGGTATATGCTAAATTTTTAGGTTCTAGAAGAATTTTATGTCAGCGTCAAAGAAATACTAAAATTGCGAGAAGTAACAAAAAACAAAAGAAACGATATTGGAGGATAATTAGGAAACAAAGAAACGGTATTGGACGAGGATAATTAGGAAAGTATGTAAGTAGGTCGGACAAAAATAACCTTCCATATTTTTAGACAGTTTTAATTATTTTATCAAATTAAAAATGGTAAAAAACGTTAATTTGGGAGCACCGAAGCAATGCTCTTATCTTATGTCATTTCGTGAAAAGCCTTTTATTGGCCGATATATCGACCATATCAAGGATATTTAAATAGTGATAGCGAGCTAATCATCGTTAGATTTCATTCTTAAAACTGAGTTCATTAATTCTTAGAATTTTAAAGTCTCATATGTCCCTATTCTCTTCCCAATCAAGTAAAAGATAAGTCCTGTTAATAACTAAACTAGACTTCTAAAGAACCTAAAATTCCAAATGGGTAGCTTGCTCTTACAAATGAGACTACAAAAAAAAATTCTGGATTCTATGTCGATTTTAAATTTTAATGAATAAGTTGGATTTATAAATAAGACTACAGGAAATCATAGGTAAAAATCAAAATACTAAATTTTTTAAAATAGAACAACTTAACTCCTAATCACCCTACAATTTCTTCTATACTAATAAGATTAGAGTTTCATCAAATAGTATGAGGCTTTCAATGTCTTGCTCCAACTCTCACTTTCATATAAAAGTTTGTTTTGCATCATCCCCTCTTCCAGAGAGCAAAGCAACGAATGGTTGGAGAAAGTGTATCCCCTTTTGCCGCACTTTTGAGAATAAAAATAAGATATTGTAGACTTGCCAATCCAAAAGAGAGTATGTCTGGAAAAGTGGAAGAGTTGTATTGATCAGCATTTCAATGGTTCGACATGCTATAAACATTTAAGAATAGTTTTGAGTTGTTCTGTTATGGTGAGTCTCGTTAGTCATGAGTGTCTACTGGTTTTAGTATGGATTGAATGGATTACCTTTTTCCGGATACATACGAAACCATCCTTGTGGAGCTAGTTCCATGGATCTTTCATATTATCTAAACTAAGCTTTCATTTGGTAGTCAACATAAACATATGTAACTAAGCTCACATAAATTGTGCATATTGCAAATTGAATCAATTTTTTATATTCGTGCTACCTGGTTGATCATGTGCACAACAGTATTCTTCCATGAGCAGTTATGTACTTCTCTTAGGTTTCTTGCTCTTTTGTGAACTTATCTGTTGACTAGATACTTTTCTGTAGACTTCAGAATCTTATTGAAAACGATCGAGATGTAGGTAATTTCCTGTAGTCAACTGAATTGTTTCTTGCAATGACACATTTTGATTTTTCTTAAAGGAAAAAGGCTCAAATGAGATTGTCTTTAAAGCTATGGGAAGAGCTATCAACAAAACTGTCATGATCGTGGAGCTAATAAAGGTACTAACTTTTGATATATTAGCTTACGCTTCATTTCTTTACAAATAACCTATCTTATCCGCATTTTCCTTCATTATAATCAAGACATGCCCACTCATCCTTAGACTAGAAGTTAGCTCCATGGAGACTAGAAACTAGCTCTATGGATGATTTTTTATCTTATAATCATTTCTCATAATATGTCAATGCAGAGAAGGATTGTTGATCTTCATCAAATTACTGCAATTGGTTCTACAGACATAACTGATACATGGGAGCCTTTAGAGGAGGGACTACTTCCGTAAGATCACTTAGAAATGGAAGCCTGCGTTGCCAACAGATTTATTGGCAACATAAGACTGCAAAATATATACCAAAATTGCTTTTTCATTTTATTTTCATCTTGCTTTCATTCTGATTATGATCTCTCTTCTATAGGCTTGAAACTACTAGGCATGTGTCGATGATCACAATTACCCTGTCAAAGACAGAGACTGATAAAGCCTCAGTTGGGTGAGTAATGAAACATATTCTTTTTTGCTCCCAATGGCTTTAGAAAGTCTGCTTGATTATTATCCTTTCATTATACAATGAAGTTGGTAATGTTAGGCACTCAAAGTGTATGTCCCTTATTCATATCACAAGCTTCTGCATCTTTCTCGATCAAATTTAAGGGACTGTTTGGCAATGAAGTGCAAGCTGGCCCAACTTTGTATATCCCCTTAACCAGGCCAGGATTAGCCAACGCTTTGTTTAAGGGTTTCAAAATGAAACTAAAAAAACTGGGCCAACGCTTGGTTTAAGGGTTTCAAAATGAAACTAAAAAAACTGGGCCAGCGTTGGCCCAGTTTTTTCCCAAATGGAAAATAGCCCAAAACTGGACCAGGACTAGACCTGGCCCAGTTTCATGGGTTTGCCAAACGGGCCCTAAGTTATTGTAGCTGCTCTACCATGCCACTGTCATCAATCATTAGCTTTTGGTGCAGTGGTCACCAAGTCTCTGTTGTCTAACATGTGGAGCTATATTTTTTTCCCCTTTCATCTCTTGCCTGTTCATACAATTTCTATTTTATAGATCTAGAAGCTTGTATTAGCTTTCTTGATGTTGATAAATAAATTTATCAAGTTGTACCTTTGTTTATGAGAATTTGTGGAAATTTCTTCTGAAAATTAAAGGAAGAAATTGTATTGGTTTGATCTTGTCTGTTATTAAAAGTTTTTGCTAAAGGTTTTACCAGATGCTTTCCATTTCAATCATTTTGTGGAGAGAACCCATCAAGTCTTGTTTAGGATCTCTAGTTTAATTATCTGCTTACTGTTACAACATTAGCCAAGAAGCATTGTCACATATCCACACAATTTCTGTAGCTGCCCTTGGTATTTCGGCATACATCATCTTTATTTTTTATACCTAACTTGGAGAGTAAAGGGTCCTGGTTGTAAGTTCAACTTTGGTCTGGAAGCTCTTTCACTGTGTTCTAGATTTTGACCATTCAATGATTTAATTTCTCCTTTGTCATTTTCACTTCACAGGTATCAACCTCCTTTACCCAGGGACCAAGTGAAACCATTGGTTGAATTTGATTATGAAGGAGGTACATTTTCTGTTTTTATATTTTTAAAATTCTATTTTCTTAATTTTTGATTACTCCTACCTCTAAATGTAGAGGGTACCCCTAGTGGGCGAGGAAGAGGTCGTGGTGGTCGCAGAAGAGGAAGGGGTAGAGGTACTTCTCCAACTCAGCTTCATGTGAATTGAATCCATTTATTCTGTGGCATTGTAGTGACGATGTAACTTCTTATCTCTAGGAAATGGTAACATGGTAATGGATTATGGTGATGGAGAATGGGACAATGGGGGTCGTGGGTATGGTGGTAGAGGTGGTAGGGCCCGTGGTAGAGGTCGTGGTTTCCGTGGTCGCGGACGAGGAGGCTATGGGGGATGGAGTGAGCATCCACAAGAGAATGGTGGCTACAATGGCGGTTATGATGAATTTGAAGCTCCCAATCCTGGTCAAGGGAGAGGTATGATGTCAAAAACAATATTTCTCTTGATGAATCAAATATGGAACCTTTATGCATGATGGTTTTAGATTACTCCGACATGTAATCCATGTCTGCTGTTTTCAATTGTTTCTGTCTGATTTAGATTTTTTAACCCCATATGGTGACACCATGGGACCATATTGGCTAGGAACTAAATAAAATCAGTGAAAATAATTACTACAAGATACATTGAAAGTGGCAAGACAATATTGCATAAGTAAATCAATTGAAATCTGTTTGATAAATTTACCAGTAAATTGCTTCGGATTATTGAACAAGGAAATGTGAAACATAAAATGGAGAAAGGAGAACAAATGGATAGGAGGATTGGCTGCTGTTGGATTTAGTTTAGTATATGCATATTTGGTGACACTAATTTGTATTTTTAATGATCTTTAGATACTATTGGGTATTAGCGAATAGCACAAGAAATTGGATAGCAAAGTTAGCTAGAGCCTTCGTATTTGTTAAAATGATAAAATTATAAGACCGTTTGTTTAGTCAAGGTTTGTTGGATATACTTTAAATATATGTATGCAGAATTCATGCATCACTTCTACATGGTTTTGGAGTATCTTGGACAGTCCATAAAAATTTCAGATTATCGGATGTTAGATATACTTCCAAGGGGTAAACAGTATGTGCCGGATTGTTTAAATTCGTTTGCACCATTGTATGTTAGAGCGGTGGATGCTGAATTCCCTAGATTGCAAATGAGATGATAAAAGCTGGGATAAATTTTGTAAACAATCCTCGTAGTATTAGGGAGTTCTAGCAGAAAACGATCCTAAAATAATTTTTTATTATAAAAGCTTACCCAAACTTCGAAATCAGAAGACATCCCCCAACTGCATTTAACCACACATTTTAGAGACTAAAATACTTCTTCACGGTGTTAAGAGGGTGAGGAAAGAATCGACAAACTAAATGTGGGGAAAATTGTCCAAGAAAGTTCACTAACAGCTGCTAGACATGATAGTTGGGTAAAAAGTGGTTTAGAATAGCATGGTAATTTTTCCTAACAAAAATATTCTAGAATAGTTACTTCGAAAATCCTAATGGTTCATGGTTGTTTGTGACATTTACCCTTAAAACTATACAATACCAGGGTGTATAATAGCCATGAACTCATGAAGTATGATGGTTCTTAAGTTGCCTTGGGCTGAAATTTCTATTCAATACTATTAGTGAGTTCCAATTTTTATTTATAGTATGAATCTGTATTGCTGGTTGCAGGGCGCGGGCGTGGGCGTGGTCGAGGTCGTGGTAGGGGTCAAAACCGAGGAAGAGGTCGTGACTATAGATCGAACGGACCAAATGAACCGATCCATGCAGGTAATGAAGGGGCATAAATGAATTACCCATGAAGAATGCAAGACTCTGCCTCATTGTGTGTCGGATGCCTCCTTTGTGCTTGGTCTTTATTGTTACGGAGTATCTTCTCTGTAATATTAGCTCCTCTTTAACACTTTGCACCCCTATTACCTTGTAGTGGGCTTCTATCAATTTTTAGATCTAGGTAATTTCGTAATTAGATCAAACTAATTGTAGCATCCATCCAACTTAGAGAACATTGCATTCTTTTATTTATTTATTTTCAAAAGGCTGCCTGTGACTGTTTTATTCCTGTTATTTCGTTTTAATTATACCCCTAAGTTCATCAAATCAACTGAAAGCGGGAGTAAAAACCAACTTTGGGCAAACTATAAGCTGGAGTAAATATGGTTTAGCATGGGGTTTTTAGTGGGAAGTACCAAGTTTAGGAGTATTATTGACCAATTTTTATGATGCGCAAGTCAAATGGAATTTTTAGGCGAATTTTCCAACGTTTAATGACAATATTCCAATATTTAGCAAAGAGAAGATAGTAAAGTGTTACTTTTAAAGACAACAGGATAGTTACTTAAAAGGGGCTACATAAGTGCAAAGACCTGTAGACTAGAAGAAATTTAAGTGCCATTTAGTCTATAAAATCTTTTGCGATGTTCTGCTAATAAATCCCATTTCTTACTTCTATTGATGATACGAAGCAAAATTGGTAACATTTTCTGCGCTGTGATTTCTGAATCATTGTTGGGTTTGTGCTTGGAGTCTCTTTTCGCATAGGTTTTAGTCTTCTAGCAGGAAGTTTGTTTCTCTTCCCTTGTGAATTCACTGCTTCGTATTGGTCTCTGCGACTTTAAGAGGGGAAAAAGCTGAAGGAAACTTATTTCTTAGATAAAATTAGATTTGCAGTCTTTTCACTCTGAAAGCTTACACTCAGTTATTATATACTGAACACTGAGGAAACAACAAACATAGAAAAATAACCTTCAGGGATAATTATTTGCTAGCGCATGAACTCTTGCTGTTCCTGATGACATCTCATATCCAGTATCTTCATATACTATTATCATATCAACCTTCAAATCTTGCCACAGTCAAAGTCTGCCTTCTTCAGATACTGGCCATCCAAAAACCCTGCCAAGCATTTATCCCTCAAAAAGTTCATCACCCAACCGCTGCTCTCCTGTACAAACCCCAGCACATAGGATCTAACAATGAGATCAAAGCTCCTCCACCTCCTCTCCTTTGCATACTTCATCAGCCCCCCCTCAATCCTCTCTCCGTTCAAAATAACCTCGCCCAGGCACCGAGCGAGCGTGACCCCATCCTCGAGGGCAGAGCAGCCTCCTTGACCGAGGTCAGGAGTCATCGGATGCAGTGCGTCTCCGGTGACGCAAACATGTCCGTCGGTGATGTTTCCCGTTAGCAGTTCGAACGGGTTTCTGAACCTTAACGGAGATGAGACGACTGTGCCCATTTCGCCGTTTGAGACTATTTGCGCCATTTGTTCGGGTGCTTTTGATGTTTTTAGTTTGTTTAGGATGAAGTTTTTCATCTTTGCCGCGTCTTCTACTTCCTCATCTGCAAGTGCAAATATCAATTTTATGTCGGTGCAAATAGAATGCAAAGTATTGAAATATCAATACAAATCAACAGCATATTTATGCGAAAAATATAAAACTACTTCCATCACCAACTTCATTATATTTGTCGGAACACCGAGGGGTCTATCCGCACAAATAGAACTATAAAGGATTTGTCAAAAATTGTGTGATAATACAAGGTCTATCCGCAATTGGATCTTTGTTTTTTATGTGTTTTTTGTGTGCAAATGTGTGCAAATGTACGTACCTCGCGGAGATGGAGTCCAGGTGAAAAACCAGTAGATGCTCTCGTCGTCGCAGGGTAAATACCCACATCGAAACCCTTCGCCGAAGTACTGATGGAAACGGGGCCTGAAGCCATGACCGTCAGGGAACACGGTGAATCCCCTCGAAGCGTTGCGCCCGGTAAAGGATGGTTTGTTGAGGCCTAGAAATTTTGCCACCAAGGAGTTCACTCCATCGCACCCAACTAGCACCTTCATCCACAATTAGAAATTTGGAAGAACAGAGGAAAGATTTAGATTTAGTTTCGATAATGTCAGTCGGCATCATAGGCACTTTGAACTTTGTTTTCGTGTTGGTTGTAGTTGCTGCGTCGTCCAAACTACCCCTCAAATCATCAATTTCGGAAGGCAAAAGAATACCCTCCAAGTCAACAAATCATGTACGAGCATTTACCACCCGCAAATATTCATTTTAGAGGTATAGATGAGCAATTTTGATGACTTGAAAAGGATAATCTTGAATTCTAAGATTTGTGCTTAAAAACCCCTATAACATTAATATGTTAATTATATTACCTTAGCTCTCAGAATAGAGCCATCAACCAAGTGCAAGATCTTCAAGTTGCCATCCTCTTCAATGGACACAACCTTGGATGAGAATCTAATCGTCCCTTGAGGTAACTCTCTCGCTAGTGCCTCCAGCAGCAAATTTCTCCTCACACAGCGAACTTCATGCTCTCCACTGTATCAGAAGTTAATATAATTATTAATCATCTTCATTTATTTATTTATTTATTTATTTCGTTTGACAAGGGAACTTCCTCACGATTATTCGGACTGTGGGCATCAAACCCCCGGGCGTCTCTAAAGGGCACCCTCCAACACACGACCTTGGTTATTCTAGGAAATTAAATTACCGTGGGTGTTCCCGGGGAAAGTCGAACATAGGGTCTTGGAGTACTGCTAATATGCAGCTTACCAAACTCAGCTAGACCCTCTTGGGTTACTAATCATTTTTTTAGTCCTTGAATGCTGGCATTTAGTTTAATTAACGGTAAATTACACTAAACCCCCAAGGACTTTCAGCATTTTGCAGCAAACCTCCAATAACTTCTAAAACCGCACTAAACCTTGAATAACTATTGGAATTTTGAGTAAGTACTCACATTTTCCCTCGAGTTGTGAGGATTTGCTGTGAGGTTATAGCTCCAGAAGATGCTGAAGTAGCAATTTCCCTGCAAATTGAACTGAGGTTAACTTGCATGTTTTAAAGAATTCACAGAGAATCTTTTAAGGTCTCAAAAATGACAATTTATTTGTTTGTTTGTCTTTTCCTCTTCTATTTTTTTACGAAATTAACTTGGATGCAAAAGTTTTGATCTTTGGAGAAGAACAATGGCTATTCTCCTATATAAACATATGAATCGTAGCGTTGAAAGTTGATTGTTATTTGACTAGAAATTGAAAAGTAGAATGCATAAACAACTCCTGGACTATTGAGGGTCAAACATTTATTATGCCTATGCTCTTTTCATTAGCACTTTGGTTTCCTAATCCCAAATGAATTAAGTTATCTTCAGCCACCCGATAACAACATATTGCAGAGAACGGGAATGTATCCAGCGGACCTGGTCCATAAACATTCAACGCGCATCAAATTGGATGTCAATTCTTGGATCTATACATGAGTCTCGATGTCCATTGATCCAAGCATTGTCATCCTTTGGTGCGCATTGAATGTCATGAACGGATGACCATTTGATATATACTTTCTCTGTAGAGAACAACTGATATCCCACCGTGACCGCAAAATTGATAATTCTATTTGGACATTAAAGAGTGTAAGCAACCCTTAATTAGAAACCGCAGGAGGATTTTCTACAGTTCATCAAAGAAACAAGAATGATGCGTACCTCTCGAGCCGGAGGCTCTGTCGCCTGAGGGAGTCTCCGACTCCAAGCGCGTCCAGTGCTCTCCAAGCATTCGTCCACGTCGTTAACGCGAACCCGCTCGCCCTCAGCGACTCCGATGACTCCAACACCAAGCTCTTGATCCCCTTCCTACAAAATTAAACCCACAAATAAATACATCAAAAACTAGCTAGGATACATAGCTCTCTTGTATACGTAACTAATTGCTTTCAAAAAAAAAAAAAAAATGAGGATGTTGTACCGGTGGAGCCCGAGCGCGGTCGCAACGCCGGATAATCCTGCTCCGACGATCACCACTTCCTCAACGGCCTCCATTGGATGCTCGTTTGAATTGGAGAAGGTTTTGTGATGCTGTGTTTAATTTGAAGTGTGCTGCTTTTGAATTGAATGTAGGTATTGAGTGGGGATATGTATGGATGTATATATACGAAGATGGGTGGATATAAGTGACGTCATTAGTGATGAAAGGGAAGGGGCTGCTGATGTTTATTTTTATTTTTATTTTTATATTTATTTTTTTGAGGAATCGGGGTTGCTGATGTTGGTGCCTTTGTTGTTTGTTGTTTGGGGGGATGAGATGGATTTGGATTCTGTCTCTGCCGTCCGTGATTTGATCCGTGAAAGTATTGACTGGTCTCCGTTTAATTACTATTTTATTGATCTAAAGTTGGACATTTTTTTTCATGAGTACCATTAAGGACCCGTTTGGATCGGGTATTTTGAAGGGGAAATGAGGGGGAAAGCTGCAAATTTGTCAGCTTTTTGACAGTTTTCCCTTAAAACCGCCTCTTATAGAGGCGATTTTGGGAGAAAGCTGCCAAAAAGCTGACAAATTGGCAGCTTTCCCCCTCCTTTCCCCTTCAAAATACCCGATCCAAACAGCCCCTAACACGGTGAGCGGAGATCACTGCATACTTTCTAGTTTTCTATCTACAAATACTAGTGTGCACCCGTGCAAATCACGGTCTCCTATTTTTTTGTAAGCGCTGCATTTTGAACTTGTTTCTCTTTTTAAAATTTTAATACATTTGATTTAATTATTGTATGCTTAAAATTAAAAATTATATCCACTCCTCTATACTTAAAGAAGGATCCAAATGCTAATACTGTAAGGAAAAAAAATTTGATATCATGTAACTGTATTTTTATTGTTTATACTACAGTAATTTACTCTACCATGAACAGTGATTCTTGGGTTCACCTTTAAATATAGAAGAAAAGATTTAAATTGACTTCCTAATTTTCTATCTACAAGTATTTAAATGATCTTGGTTTATTCTACCCCTACGGTGATTAAATGTAGTAGTTTCTTTTTGTTTTTTGATAGTACATACAGTTATAAAAGGAGTGAGAAGAACACAACACGTGCTCATTATCAAATTTGAAACTAGCACAATTAGTATATAAAATCAGCGCAGGCAATTAAAAGAGGATTCAGAACTTTTCCATTGTCAAAATAGAAGTGAAGAGACTACTACTCTATCACTATCATTGATCATCTATTTTATAGTTGAATATCTTTTTTATTGAGTACAAATTAAGAATTAGTACAATTTATGGGGGTACAGCGATCGAGCATTAAATCAAAAGGAATCATAAACATTCACTTGATGATTAATCGTTATTTTCAGTAGTAGTGTTTTCTTCCCTATTCTTTTTAAATAATGGAGTCACGTAGAGGAGTCAAATTCATTAAAAGATTAGTACAAACTAACTACCGAATGATAATTTTTAGATTAAAATTTGATAATAAACACGTGTTATGTTTGAGGGTTGAAGAACATTGACTGCTGCAGCGTCGCCGTCCTCATGGCTTTGATTGCAAAACTCCAAATAGTGTCATCATGAGATGCCTCTGCCATCCAAGTTACTTATAAGTTAGCTTATTTGATATTTTACTAAACGAATAGATATTAAGAAGTTAGCTTAAAATTTAGTTTATCTAAAAAAATAAGCTTCCCCCAAACACCCTCTTATTTTTAATTTTAGGTTAAATATCACATAGTACTATCAATTCTAGCATCTCATTTAGCAAGTATGTGCGGGGAAAAAATGATGAAAATAATTCTTTAATCTCAAAAAAGTACTTATTTTTTCCTTTTATTAAAAGAGTATTTTCTTCGAAACTAAGGAATAATTTTTCGTCTTTTTTTTCTTGTGCTTACTAATGGAACGTTAAAGTTGATGGTGTTAAATTAAGGATTAAAAGATAAATTTTTAGGTAAAATTGAGTAAATAAAATAGGTCGTGAGGTTATGTCCAATTCCTCAAAAGTTTATGGAAGTTTAGTGTAATAAAAAAAAAAGTTGATGGAGGTTACTGCAATTCCCTAAAAGTACATGAGGGTATTTTGTATTTCTACAGGATAATAATATACTAAATATGTGTGTTCCTCTATATTCTGTTACATTGTTGATGGTCAGTTATGTTGATTAGTATTTTCAAAGTACAATCAAACTATCTTAACATCAGTTAGGAAATTTTTAGAAATTAGTTCTTAAAATTTTTAATATTTTTGAAATCGGTCTCTCTTGAAATTGCTATTGGATCCTCCACGTTTGTTGTTTTGCTTCTACTATTGATTGGGGATATTAATTTAAAGCAGCTTATAAGAACTTGAGAGTGAATATCACTTTTCTATCTATGAGGACCAATTCTGAAACAACATGTAAGAAATGAGCAATCTAATGACAATTTTAATAATTTAAAGGAACAAATCTCAAAATATTTAAAAGGGCGAATATCCGGAAAATCCATACATATAAGGTATATATATCAGACAAAAAGGAAAACAAAAACTTAGAAAGCCTTAGAAAGTTAGCTAAGTTTTAGGGGGACTAAAGAAATAACGGTTTTTCTATAGAGTGCCCTTGGGCACTCTATAAGAGAGGAGAGAGATAGAGAGAAATGAATGAAGAGAGGATCCCAATGCAAATCAGGGGGCCCCCCTCCTCATTCATTTCTCTCTATCTCTCTCCTCTCTTATAGAGTGCCCAATGGCACTCTATAGAAAAACCGAAGAAATAAAGCTAGCTTTTAAGGAGATTAGAGATATTAAGTGTACTTAAGGAGGTAACAATTAATTCCTCAAAGAAAAACTTAGGAGACAGGTGATGGAAGATATAGAGCGACCAAAAAATTATGGAAGATAATTAATAGAGTATGAAGACAATCAGGAGACAGGTGAAGCAATAAATCTAAGGGGGGAAATAGAAAAAAAAAGAGAGGAAACTTGAGATACCTTTCATCATTTGAAAATATTGAGCTGGACTTTGTATATTTTAAATAAAAAATATCTAAGTCCGAGAGAAAAGAGAAAAAAAACAAATGTATTGATTGTATTGATTCATATTAGAATAGCGATAACTAGACTACTCTTTTGAAACTATTCATACGCTGTTACGTCCAAAGAAGATTATGAGGTCATTGGTGACCCATCAATTTTATTTGCAATACAAGTGGAGCGACCCATATTTTTTGTGTGTAGTAGTATCTATTCCTTTATACAAATAGGAGGATCAGAGATTCACTGTTCATGCTACAGTAAATGCTAAAACAGCATTTACTGTAGCATGATTACTGTAGTTAATAATTAATTAAAAATGTTATTGTAGCACACGGGTATACTGTAACATTTAAAAGGTACTGTAGCAGAGCGGGATACTGTAGCACTTCCAAAAAATTCAAATCATGCATATTAAAAAACGGGATTACTGTAGCAAAAAAAAAAATACTGTGCTTTGCACGGACCGCAAACTAGTAGAAGTACCATGAAAGGAAGTTTGGTAAATGGGACCCACTTCTAACTCCCGTTGAAGGCAGGAATTCAAAAAATTTGCGTGAGCTCCTCGCCTCTTCGATCCAGTCTCGATCTACGATTTTTTTAAATAAATTGAAAACCAAATAAAAAAAAGGACAAAAAAAAAAATCCCTCCGTAATTCTCCGCACCATCAAGGGCATTTTCGTCATTAGCCAACCACTTAAGGGGACGCCTCTTTTAAAAATCTCCCCCCTCTACAAGCTCCAACAAAACTAGCCGTTGCCCCTCTCCCTCTCTCTCTCTCTCTCTCATCGATGGAATCGTCATCATCAGTAGCAATGGCGAGCCCATCCTCAGACGAGCGATTATGGGGCAACCTCCACGATCGCGTCGGCACGATCCTCGAGCGACAGCAGCACCGCAGGCCCAGGCGCTGCTCTTCTTCAGTAAGCAAAAAAAAATCAGAACTTCGAAATTTCTTGTCTTCTCATCTTTGGAAAAAGAAAAAGAAAAAAAAAAACCCAATTTTGATTCTGGGTTTTGCTCGGATTTCCAGTTGGATGGGGCTGAATGGGAGGGCGGGAAGCGGTTTAGAGAAGATTCTGTGCTTTTGATTAGAGGGCTGGATTCTGCCGCGGCTTCTCTCTCGCAGCTCACCGATTCTCTGAATGCAGCTCAGAAGGTTAACATCTTTTTTAACCATTAATCCTCGTTCATTTATTTATTTTTATTATCCCAGAAGATTTCAAATTGGGAAATGGGTTTTCTTAATAATACCCAACTCAAAAGGTACTCTCTCTTCTTACAATCTATGGAAATTTTGGTCCTTTTTTAAGCGAACATTTGGTCCACAGAGCATCATTCTCACTTCCATCGGACTGGATTCAAATTGGGAAATGTTTTTTTTTTCCTTTTTCTTTTCCTTTTCGAAACCAGGGACTCCATGATCTAGCCAAACCATCACTGACGAGCCTACAACGTCGAGAGAACAGCGAAGCAGAAGAAGAGGACGCCCAGCCGAACGCGAAGAGGCGTTGCGGTCCTGGTAGGATTCTGAGCGACGGCGGAGATGAAGCGGCCGCGGGTAATTCGCAAGATGAAGCGCCGCCCGATCGCTCCGAGGAGGCTGATCATGCCCCTGTCGGTATTGGAAAGAGCGGAAACCTCAAGAAGGCAAAGAATGTGAGATGTCTAGCCTTTTTATAGAGGACGAACGTTTTCGGTTAAATCAAATCCTGATGTTTATGTGTGCACTGCAGCTGGCAATTTCGATGGCGAGCAGGGCGTCTCTTCTCGCGAGAGAACTGAAGACGATGAAGTCGGAGCTTTTGTTCACGCGAGAGAGATGTGCGCTGCTTGAGGAGGAGAACAGGAGGCTTCGGGAGGGAGCGGAGGAAGGCGATCGGCCAGAAGAAGATGACCTGGTGATCCTCAATTGAGCTTTTGATTTTGTTATCCGCTCTAATGCTTACACATATTTTCATTAGGAGCTTTGCTACATGAACCCAAAATATAGGACCAATAGGGGGACAAGTGAAGTGTCCCCTCCTATTGGATAATGAGTTGGTCATCACTAATGATGGCCAACTCATTATCCAATAGGAGGGGGACACCTCACTTGTCCCCCCTATTGGTCCCATATTCATCGCCCATATTTTGGGTCCCTGTAGCAAAACTCTCATTAAAACATTTATTTAGTATCCGCACCGCTGACACATTATTATTTTTTTTAACTCAATCACAGCAATATTTCATTCCAAGAGAGGATAATGTTTGTTGCCACTGGGTTGAGTTGTAGATTTATATAACCTTTCCATGTTACCTGAAAGAATATTTCTGAAGTTGGATCAATTGCCTCTCTCCCCATTTACAAAAAGAAAATCTAGTTTTTGTAACATAAATGGTAGTAGTATTTATGC